TTCACACTTTGATTGGTTAAGGAAAAATCAATATTTACTTTTCGGGTGCCTTTGATTTGTTGGTTTTTGTTTTTGTTTTTTTTTTTTTTAACAAGGAAGTTAAGTAAGGAGTTGGAGATTTGAATAGGAAATATGTCTTAATAAGTTATATTTACTAAGAGATAAATGTAAAAAAAATAAAATAAAAAGGTAAGATATATATTTTTTCTTATAATATAATAACTCCGAAATCTTCTGTGAGAGTGGTTAATAGAAATAAAGATTTCTATCCCTTAACAGAGAGAAACAGGAAGAATAAACGTAATGGAAGTAATTAAATATTATTTATTAAGAAATTTCTATACTGGCAATTCAATTTTTACCAGCTTAATCAACTTTAATATTGATATTTATTTAATTTCATGAACTTCAAAATATATACTAAGCTCTTGTTTGAAAATTAGTGTAAAATGTATTCAGGGGATCAATGGAAACTTTTTATTATTTTCCTTTTCTAAAATAGTATTATTTTTAGATTGAAAAAACATTAATTTGATTAAACAAACATTGACTTATTTATGACTATTCAAATACTATATATTTATTGAGATGATTACCAATCTTATATTATTGTAAATGTTGAAACAACTTGGCAATTGATTTGATGGCATTTCTATGGTCATATTATTTAATGAGATAAGTTGAATTTATTGAAGTTCAAGTTCAAATATTGTCGAGATAGTGATATATAGTGAAGATACATCTTGTCATACCTATTAACTCATGTCCACCATGTCGTGTTTGAGATGTATGACAATGGATAGAAATATACTTTTCCTATGTATGTATATGTGCGTGTGCATGTATGTGTATATAATAATTCTATTAATAAGGTATCTATTACTTTTTCAAAGTGTGGTGGTTCGATTTTCAATCTTTACATTTGATAAGCTGAAAAAAATTACCGATTTTTGTAATATGATTTTAAACATTACAGGTATTTTATAAATATTTAGGACACTATTTACTTTGATTAGGTTTTTTAGTACATTTACTTTATTAATTTAGGAATAAAAAAGACAATATAATTGTATTATGTTTTTTATGTATACAAGTTTCGTTGTATAAGAAAAAGTAAATTGTAGAATCTGATATCTGACTAGAAATGAATCATAAAAAGTACTAAAAAAATAATTATGAAAAATAAAAAACAATAATATCAGATAGATTATCGTGATATTCCAAAAATGCCCCCTCTGTCTTTTCAAAGTTTCCTTGAACAGCACCGTGGGCTAAAATATGGGCTTTGGATACTCCACACGGCCCGCCCACTTGATGTGTGCCATTAACTAAAAGTTAAATATAATCATAAAATAATTTTAAATATACCTTTTCAATTATCAAAAAAATAAAAGAAAAGAATTTTAAATATACTTTTTTTTTTGGAATGATGAAAAACGCTTTTAAAAGTATATTAAAGGCTAAATATTCTAATATTTCAGTTAAGTTTCAATTTAATTCTTCATTTTTTTAATTCTCATATTCATATGTACTTTCATTACAGTAACAATTGAGCCTGTGTATTTTTATATTGGTAACAATTTAGTCTTAACAATTTAATCATCTTTAAAATTTGTAACAATTTAGTCACTACCACGAACATTGTCGTCAAAATTAAGCGTTAATTTTTATCATATTACGATTTAATTTTTGTAAGTTATAAACAAAGTTGATCATTCGTCACTTTATCAATCTACATATATAATAAATTTTACAATGGGGATTAAATCGTTACAAACTTTAAACATCCAATACTAAATTCTTACCTTCTAAATTTAATGGACTAAATTATTACAAATTTGGAAGTATAAGGACTAAACTTTTGAAAGTTCAGGGATTAAATAAAAGTGTTATTTAACCTAAATAATATTAGGAAGTAAACAAAATTTAATGTTAATTAAATTATTACTGTTTGTGCAACAAAATTGGTCAATGTTAAACCAGGTCAAAGATGGTTGATTGGGGAGAATTTGAGTGTCTTTAAGAAAAGATTTGCATAACAGAAGCTAAGACATCAATGCTCAAATCGGTTTAAGTTAATACGGACATGGAGTTAGATAGTGATACCTAATGTAGAAGTGAGACCCTCTCTTGATAGGTTGAGACTTCGATAGATTGTCCGAGAGACGATTATTGATGTAACTCTGAAGGTCGGATTGTCGGGTGCCTAAGATCGAGATTTGATCAAACCTTTGCCACGAGGGGGGGGGGTGGAATTCTCATGACGTTTGTAGGTAAGTACAAAGGTCAATCTCACTTTTGGAGGTCTTCAAGTAAGGCCTAATCTTCCAACCTTCATTCGTTCTCTACGTGGAAATACTATTTTTTCGCTCCCAACAATCACCATTTTTTTTGTTAAAATTAAATAATTGGTTTTACATGTTAACTAGTGCTATTTTGTAACATGAAACTAATTTATAGTACTACAATGATATGAATATTAGTTAGATACGACAAAAGCGAGTATACCTCAACAGTAATTATCAAATATATGTTTGGCAAGGAAAAATTTACAATATAAATGGAAGTAGGTACCCAAAATATTAATTTTTTTTGGTAAGATCAATATGTCCATCGATAATATTTATTTATTTGGCCAATTTGAGCTTAAATTGTCAATTGTCTTTTATCAATGTTATGAGTTTCTATAATGATATTTATTCATTTCAAGTGATATATTTACACATCTAAATATATTAATAAAGAAACAATTTAGAGATATATAAATTTTTTATTAACCAATTTTAACATAATTTATTTTATGAAATTATTTAGTTGAGAGTTATATAATTTAAATTATCTCATATCTCTCTCCTTATCCGCGCGTAAAAATCCTACTCTCCGTTGTTCAGAGCGTTCAAAGCTCACTCTCGTCCACTCAAATGGCTCTGACCATAACCAACGGCGGCGCCGCCGGAGGCAGCGGTGGTGGGATTCTCTACAGAACCTCCACCAAAATCCCTTCCAACCAATTCCTTCTCCGTCGCAACGCGCTCTTCCCGCCGTCCAATGAAGCCCGCACCCTCCACGTCGTTCAGGCCAAGAAATCCTCATTCCGAACCGGGCGATTCGACAGTAAGAACCGAAGGAGCTCGACGACGACCAAGGAACAGGAGGAGGAAGAAGAAGAACGAAATCGGATGGCGGAAATTGAAAGGGATGGTCCAAACGTTGAAAATGCCGGCGTAGCGTTCGATGTGGATGAGAATTTGCCGGAACTTCCAGGGCTTCAGCCTGATTTCTGGGAGGGTCCGCGGTGGGATCCCCTCGGCTTCTTCCTGGAATATTTGTGGGCTTTTGGCATCGCTTTCGCGGTACCATTTTTCCCCTTCCATTAATTTCCATTTCCTTTCCAATAATTATTTTGATTGATTCTGTTGTCTGTTCTAATCTTTGATAGGGTTGAGCGAACGATTCAGATTGATAACTTAATTTCTGTTATGTAGTTGGTTTAGTTGGAATATTATTAATTAAGGGATGACATTTGAAATAAACCTGGCCAAATTCTACTTTCTAGGAGATACTAATCAGTAACCCAGAAATTTGGCATTAGATATCAATCCCAAAGTTCCTATTTGTTTGTTTAAGATCTTTAGCATTAGTCAGATGTGTTCGTTTTTGGATAAAATAGCATTATAGTTCTATTCTTCTTTTGTAAAAGGGCGATGAGACTGATTCATTCATCTATATCATAATAGCTAATTGCTTGCGGGATTGCTGTTACTACATATAACGAAGGAGCAACTGATTTTAAGGATACGCCTGCATACAAAGAATCAGTTCAAACTCAAGAGCTATTAGAAGAGCCCGAGGCATCGAACCCAGATGTTTTTGAATCTAATCCAACTGAGGTGGCTCCTAGTTTGGAATGATCTTGATATTTCGATATCAGAAACAGATTACACGTCTTGGATACATTATCATCCTGGAAAGCAGATAAAGAAGTGGAAAAGAAACAGAGAGAACTGTGTGAATTTGTAATGGCATATTTTCTAGGTACGTTATGACTACTTTGTTCTGTTGTATCTAGTTAAGATTTTGAATTTATATGTCTTATTAGTTTTCTCATCAACATATTATTTTTTAGGTCTTTCTGATTTACTTAATTCTGTGAATCTGATATGGCCCTTGTAATGTTGACTTAGATTTCTCTCTTTTGGCTGACTGTTTTAGAGAGATAAAGGAAGTTGGCATATCTCAAAATAGAAAGCCCTTTTTTCTGTGGCTGCTAAGAGGCGCCAAATGGTCGGGTGCAAATGGTATAATGCTCAAAAGATAATGTTATTCTGTAAAGATAGCATCTAACCAAAGCAATCTGGTAAAAGCCTAATAGAAAAGAGCATATAATGTTGAAGTGCATTTTAACATCTACCTAATTCCTATGGCAGTGGCTGAACCAACCAATACATGATATATAATAGTCGAACATGAACTCACTAAGGCAATACAAGAAACAGAAAAGTTTTCATAGCAATCGCAATTGTGAACTCAATTGCCATCCTTGGTTTGAAACTAGCACTAATCCTGCCCATCCCTAACCCCAGAATGCTCGGTTTTGGTGCTGGTTGAGCCACTGGAGAAGCTGAAAATCACAAAATAAGCAGTACCAGAATGTATAAGATATTGACGTTATAAAACCAAATTGAAAACTTTATTTGATCAGATAAATATCTAAATCATACCCAAAACTGTAGCATTGGAGACTGTGGAGTTGGTGTTTGCACTAGGAGAAACTGGAGAACTGGGTGAACTAGGTGGCACAAGAACAGCTTCAAAAGACCATCCAAAGAATTATAACTGTTAACGTTGAATGTCGAATATCGAATATCGATGTTCTTCAAAACACAAATGTTGAAGTTAAGAAGTAGAGAGTGGAAGAAATTTAACATACTTGTGCCTGAACAAGTGGAGATGTTGACTTGAAGGCTGCAAAGATCAGGCAGCTGAAGAGCTCTAGTAGTGTTTAAAGGGAAGGAGCTTAAGGTAGTGCCATTGAGCAAGATGCAGAGGCAGTAAGGGACATTGGTGTAAAGTTGCTTCAGGTTATCACAGCATGCCATGGCTGGCACTGAGGCGATACCCTGCACAAACGGTGCACATGAAGCCAACGGAAGAAGGCTTGCCGTGCATTGAGCTATGCCAGGGCTCGAGGAGATCAGGCCTTGTGATATGGTAGTCGGTAGAATGCGTAGAAGAAAGAGCAGGCTTAGGTATGAAATGGGGAGTGCAGGAAGAGAAGGAAGAGATGCCATGGTGCCAGAGGAATTAGAGTTTTTGACTGTGTATAGAAATAGAGTGAAAATGTATTGTTTTAGTGAGTTAAATCATGCAGGGTGTGTGTGTCGATACACACACTCTTCTTGTTCTTCTCTCCCTCAATACTTGTGAGGAGTGCCACATCATCACCCTCACCTAATAACTTCAAATTATGTGTTTGAGGCCTTATTTTACATTATTTACTTGGGAATTAGGGGTTGTTTTTAGACTTCCAATCTTATAATAAGCTCTATAGATAATTGGTAATGATTTGTAGAATGTGATTTGAAATTTACAATTTCAGATGGTTCAGAAACAGATTTGTGGCTAAAGAAGTTAATTTAAGATGTCACTAGAGATCTATCTTGACTGATTATGAAGTTATTAAATAATTTTACGTAAATAAATATTAGGGAGATGCCACTAACATCTAGCAATTTATCAATTTAAGTAGAATAATTTCCAAAATAAGCACACAATTTTGGCCTTTGGGATCTTCAAGATTAGGATATCGTCATTAAATAAGCATATCTTTTCATTTGTGATGTTATATTAGACCATGCTTAGGTGTTAAATGGTCTAACATCTATATATTTCGGTGACTACTATTAAAATTCCGACTGGTAAAATGAGAAGTAGAGATTTTTGTTTTTTGCTTCCAAAAACAATGAAAAGATGTCAAAATTTTAATGGTCGGTAAGTAGCAAGATAGGTATCGACGGATCTACGTCTAAATATTTTTAATATTTTTATATTAAAAATGTCGTTGGTTGCTAGTGTGTATATGCCCAAATAGTAGTCACGTGACTCACGTCCCTCAAGATAGTTGGAATTTTATATTTATATATAATCATCTATAATATTATATACTCTTAACAAATATATATTATTTCTTAAAATTCTAGGTGTTTAGGGATTGAAGTTTAGGATTCTTCATAAATAATTATTTTTGTATTAATTAAATTTCTTAAACCTATTAATAAATGAAATTAGTTTGCCAAAAATCAAGTTATATTCTATTTAGTGCAGTAATGAGAGGATTTGGGTCTAGATCTTCTATTCTAGAACATTAAAAATAATCGAAATAATCTGAAAGAAACAAATTTTAATTATTCATATTCATATTCATTTAATTTTTTTTCTTTTTTCTTTGGAGTACAACATATCGGGGAGAAGATTCGAACTCACAACTTTATGGTTTGAGGTATATTCATCCTGTTAATATAGAGTATAATTCCACATAGCAAAATTAGAATTAGGTTTAGTTTTCTAAAAGGTAGAGAGACACATCATTTGGACCACTCACACTTCCCATTATTTAATATTTAATTATTAGGCAGACACTTTCAATTGAGTCATATTATTCTGCAGATGGCTTCTAGTGTAACAAATCCATTTTTATTGAATATATTTGAAAATTAAACTAAATTGGATTAAAATATAAACAATATATAGAGTGAGAATTCAAATATTTTAACTTTTTTTGGTCGATAATATATATTTTAACCAACCGAGTATATTATCAGTAACCTTCTATTTATTTGTTGAGCTATGAGTTATGGTGTCAAATGGATAGATCACACCAATTCTACATGGAAAGAAGTCTTAATTATAGTTCTAATAGGACCACTTAAAAATACTCACTCATAAACTATTTCGACCAAATTCGCAAAATGCATGTAATTGTTTCGATACGCAAACTTGTTTAAATGTGCACCATCGTAATCACAGTTGCAAATTCAAGGCTTTTATGTATTCCAAACTTTTATTAATTTAACTTTGATAATTTGAATATTAAAATAATACTCTAAATGTTTACATGAAATACTATAAGATAAAGACAAAATTAGGAATTTTTTATGGAAAATAAAAAGTATGGTATAATGGTATTTTATTATTTTTTTTTTTTTAACTTTTAAACTTATTGAACTCAACTCTGTTAATAGAATTTTTATTTCTTAAGCCATTATCTGTCTTATCCAAGTTATCATCATTTTCACTAATGCATCATTTTCTTTTTTTCTTTTTTACTTTTATCTTCCATTCCAACTTTGGCCATCATTCCTTCCATCATTGTCCTTCATAAGGTTTGAGTTTAAGAAAGAAGACTCTAGATATCATGAACAACCCCTCTTCTACTCTTTCCATTAATTTTAAGGATAAAAATGTAAAATCATCATATTCATTTTCAATAATATTATTGAACTTCTATATTTTTAGTAAAATATGTTGGAGGTAGGGATCGAATTTACGACTTCTTAGTTGGAGATATATATCAATTACTGTTAATTTATACTCGTTTTGGTTCTCTATGTTTTCACTTTTAATTTGTGACAAATATTCCTTTTTAACAACTTTATGTAATATTTTGTTTATTAACCGGTTTAAGTCTGCTATGCGGATGTACTAAAAAAAAGTCTGCGAACTTAATATAATTTAACAATTTGAAACAGTTATTTCGTATTAAAATTTTAAAAAATAATATAAATCATATATTAAATATTTTTTATTTTTTATTTTGAAACCATATATTAAATAATTAATAATTATCGCGTACATGCCTTTGGGAATTGGAATGAGGGACAACGATAAAAGGGGCAGGCGGCATGCCAAGATCAAGAGGGTCCCATTCCCACCAATGAAATTCCTCAAAGGATATTACGAAATCGCCCCTAGTGAGAGAGAGTCCTACAAATATTTATACAAAAGGAAAGCCTTGCCGTAAAAAATTCATGAAAATGTCAGCATGCATGAATACTACTGTAATCTGTATATATCTCTAGTCATTGAGTCATCTTCATATTTGAAAAAATAATTAATTTTTTAAATTTCTAGAGACTAAATAATTTAAAAATTCAAATTTCAAGAAGTAAAATTACATTAAAATTAAAGGAGAAAAGAACGAATTTCCTATTAGGAAAGGGAAAGAAAAAGAAATCATAATTAATTATGATGATTCATAAGGAGAAGGAATCAAATGGATGAAGGCTTCCCATTTACAGAAGGGAATTAGTGGGACGTCAAATCAATTTATGAAACCAAATAATGTGCGGAAATAATACAACGCAATACCAAACAACAACTATATAATCTTCACTCCACCAGTAGTCAGTTCTGGCTTGCGCGAATTTTGAGTTGCCATTTCTTAGTTCTCTTTCCACTTTTCTTGGAATCACAAATTCCAGTTCCACTCCTGAATCCTGATTTCCGTTGCCTTTTTCTACAACAATTTTGAGGCGAGCGAGGGTCTCGCTCGTTTTGTTTGTTTGTTTGCGAATCATGGTGGCCAAGTACGGTTCCTTCAAGCAGAGTTTCGCCGAGAAGAGGGAGAGGCTGCTTTCGGTGAAGGAATTTCCAGACCTAGGTTTCACCGCCGTCGAAATCAATGGGGAGAGTTCTTCCTGTTGTTCCTCGTTTCGGCCCCTTTCTGCTGCAATCTCGAATCTTTGGAAGTCGGTGCAAGATGTTCTTCGCGAGGCCTGGCAGATGGGTGTGTCCGACCCGAGGAAGATCGTTTTCTCAGCGAAGATGGGTCTCGCTCTCACGCTTATTTCCTTGTTGATCTTCTTCAAGCAGCCCATCGAGGAGCTCAGCCGCTACTCTGTCTGGGCAATTCTCACCGTCGTTGTTGTCTTTGAATTTAGCATAGGTACTATCCATGGCATTCAAATTCTTAGTTTCTGTCTAGGGCAAATTTACTTCTGGGTTGGCTGTGGATGATTATTTTGCACTATGCTTTCATCACACTACATAATGATTTTCCGTGAGTATGATTGCCACGGCTCTTTCCATGGAGAAGGGTGTTTTTTATTAATAGAGGGAACAGGTCGAAATCCTTGATTAATATATTACATGCCTACTGTAATGTTTATATTTTATTCTGAACTACTTGGGCTTATTGATGACTGTTTATCTAAAGTAATGTTTATTAAAATTTGAATAGGGCCATGGGCCATGGTTGTCCTTTTTAAACTGCTATTCCCGTTTTGCTTAAGTTCATTGTTGATTGCCTTTTTGGAATTGTTGGATTGGCTAAAATCTTTTATTATTCTCATAGATCTTTGTTGTCTTCTTGTTCTATCTTCTGCCCTGATGTTGTTTTTGACTTTTGAGTACTCCATATGTAGAACTCTTGTGTCCTTCAACTATGATTCTTTCAACTGCAATCTGTTTGCTTATTTGAACGAAGTGATGATTTTGTCTGCAGGAGCTACTCTGAGCAAAGGATTTAATCGTGGATTGGGCACGCTTTCGGCTGGAGGTCTTGCGTTGGGAATAGCAGAATTATCAGTTCTTTCAGGAGAGTGGGAGGAGGTTGTGGTTGTTATCAGTATCTTTATCATAGGTCTGCTTTGCTAATCATTGATTTTTAAATTGACAAATTGTCCTTTTTCTACTTTTCTCCATATTTCCTTTGTGTGAAGAATCTCTCATTTGGTCATTTTATGTTGTGTTGACAGGATTCTTTGCTACTTATGCCAAGCTATATCCCACAATGAAGCCTTACGAGTATGGATTTCGGGTCTTCTTGTTGACGTATTGTTTCATAATGGTGTCAGGGTATAGGACAAGAGAATTTATCCATACGGCTGTGACTCGATTCTTGCTCATTGCGCTCGGTGCTGGTGTGTGTTTGGTTGTAAACATATGCATTTATCCCATATGGGCTGGTGAAGATCTACACAATCTAGTAGCCAAAAACTTTGCAGCCGTGGCAGCATCTTTAGAAGGTTGTTTAGATTTTCCTTTTTTAAATCTTGCATTCGTAAAACTTGACTCGAAACTGAATCTCTTACGTTAGTTTCCTTGCTCTACTACTTTCCCTTCATTTAGGTTGTGTCAATAACTACCTTAACTGTGTTGAGTACGAGAGAATACCTTCGAAAATCCTTACCTACCAAGCATCTGATGATCCACTGTACAAAGGCTACAGGTCAGCTGTGGAATCTATGAGTCAAGAGGAATCTCTGGTAATCTTTATGGACATTATGCCGGTTTTCTTTAATTTCTCCTTGATGAAAGCAAGAAGAAATTCCAATACGAATGACTTAAAACTGTTATTATCTTTTTTCCTCTTTCTTTAACCTTCTTTTTTTCTTTGTATGAAGATGGGATTCGCAATCTGGGAACCGCCACATGGTCCTTACAAGATGCTTAAATATCCATGGAAGAATTACGTTGAAGTAGCTGGTGCACTGAGACATTGTGCCTTCGCTATCATGGCATTACATGGATGTATACTTTCAGAAATACAGGTACTTTGGCTTTGCAGCTCGAACTTCCCATCGAGTAATAGACCATTGTTTCATGGATATTTTTCCGGATTGCCTGGTTTGTTTGACAATATGCATCTTGCTAGAATTTGGTCTGTATCTTTTCATTGCATCAGCAGTGTTTATGAATTTTCATCCATTTCTTTTGTCCATCGTTCCGTATGATATGTGCATTTTGCCTGCATGGTTGGCAGTTTTAAGTTAAATTTCGAAATTGTACCGTTAATGCTGCAAACTTACTTTCATTTCTTTGGACAATGTGAGCTCACAAGTACACACAACGAATATACTTGGATGTGCAGGCCTCGGCTGAAAGACGGCAGGTTTTTGGCAGCGAGATCCGAAGGGTAGGTTGCGAGGGTGCTGAAGTCTTGCGTGAGCTTGGAGACAAGTTAAAGAAGATGGAAAAATTAGGATCAGTGGACATCCTTTCTGAGGTACATGATGCTGCAGAAGAGTTGCAAAAGAAGATCGACAGAAAATCCTACCTTCTTGTCAACTCGGAGAGCTGGGAAATCGGTAATCGTCCCGAGGTTGAGGACATTGGACAGCCTCAAGAATTTATCAACTTGGATGATGAGGAAACAAGGTTTCATGAATACAGATCCCTCAGTGAAGCTGTACTGGATCTCAGGTCTTTCCCAATCCCAAAAGGCTGGAACGACAGCATGTCGTCAGACATCAACTCTGTACAGCCTGCTGCAAGTCCCTCCGCCAAAATGTTCAAGAAACAGGGATCATGGCCTGCAAAGGTTTCGATCAAACCAAATGCCGTCCCCGAGGAAGAAGAATCAAAAACTTACGAAAACGCAAGCGCATTGTCGTTAGCTACGTTTACATCTCTTCTGATTGAATTTGTCGCAAGGCTGCAGAACCTTGTTGACTCTTATGAAGAACTAAGTGAGAGAGCTAAGTTTAAAGATCCTGTTGAGTTGATCTCCACATCGAAACCTCCCGGGTTTTGGAGGCGGTTCTGCAACTGTTTTAAGGTATAGACGTTAAAGATAAGCGTCTTCATCAGCCAAGGATGAATCCGATGATCTGGCTACAGAGTGACTTTATTATGTATTTAGAGTCGTCAGGAAAGTAGATGTAAATGTAAAAGATTAGAAATAGAGATGGTAGTGAAATGAAAAATCTTCTCATCTAACTTAACCTATGATGTTGCTTGCTTGAATAAATCCTTCCAATTTCTCTCGAAGTCTGCTTTCTTCTTGGTTCAGTCATTGTCTCCTCCACTGCCTTATTCTAAAGGACACAACCAGAGGATGGCGAAATGCTGTGTAAATTCTAAAAGGACAAGCCTGGTTTGGAACTACAAAATTATTTTGGGATCGCAAGTCGATGTAGTATAGTGGTGAGTATTCCCGCCTGTCACGCGGGTGACCCGGGTTCGATCCCCGACAATGGCGTTTTTCTTTTAGATATTAAACTGGGAATTGATTTTTTTTTTTATTTTAAAATAATGGATGATGCTATATGAATCAATGAGAAAAATCAAGGCCCAGCAATTTTGTCGATGCTAATACAGAGTACAAAAACTTTGTTCATATTGACAATGTCCAAATCCAACACTGTTATAAAACTGACGTAGCGAAATAGATATTAAAATTAAACTGAAGAAATTGCTGATGTACAAAGAAAGAGAAAAAGACTGATGAAATGAAAAGAAAAGAAAGCGATGAAAATTGAAAATGGTGGCGATGATCACGATGTATCAGTACATAGTTGTATGGGTTCCATTCTTTAGAGCATGTTTGTTCGTCGTATTAATAAATTCATGTGATGGTTGTTTGATATAAGACGCTTTCAATGAAAATAAGCGGTAACATGACGGTATCATTTAATTGTAGAAAAAGTTGAGAAATTTAGACTCTGATTGATAACGTTTCGTTTATTGTCTATTGTTTTCAATTCTATTAAAAAAATTTAAGTGCGTGACAATTACTTATGTTTCTTGTTTCTCGTTTTTTACCATAGAAATTTTGAAACAATCAAATTAATTTCTTGTTTTTTTTTAATTTTCTTTATAGGTTGCTCTTATATAAATAAAATATTGTTTCATCCTTATTGAATTCATGGATATTTAGAACTTTTTATTAGGAAACAAAAACATCATCTATCAAATTTGTCCATTTAGTAACGTTTTCGTTTCTTGTTTCTCGAATCCAAGTTTATTAAAAAAAATTAAGCATTTTACTACTAACTATATGTTCTTTGTTTCTCATTTTTTTCTAAATATTCTCTATATTGTATATAAATTCTGAAAACAATCAAAGCACGTTCTTGTTTCTGGTTTCCATTTCTAATTTATTTACATAAATATAAATATTGTTTTATCATTATTGAATTCATAGGTGTTGGGTTGTAGAGATGTTCATTTTCTCCATTGGGTCGCGTGCCCGCTAAGATGAGGCGGGAGTCCCTGTTTAAATTTCCTGTAAGGCAGGGGTGGGGGAAATATTTTCTCCACCACCTAAATGGGGACAAGGACGACGTTCCTCGTCCATGTTCCTTGTCTCGCATCATTTTTTTAATATTTATTTATACATATACACATACTAAAATAATTATATTATCCTCTTTATACATACATGTACTACAAAACTCATACATTATTCTCTACCCACTCATCTAATATATATATTTGATATAATTAAACCTTGAAAATTAGACAACTAAATAATTTTTTAAGAAAAAAATATTTATTGAAGAATAATTTAAAAATTAATAAAAAAAGGGATGGAGAAAAATTTTCCATGGGGAAACCCGATCCCCACAGTTCCCCACAACGAATCCTCCCTCCAATCCCTGCAAAATTTCGAGGGATGGAGAATTAAACGGGAGGGGAGTGATGGGAAGTCGTCCCGTTCTACCCCATGAACATCCTTATTGGACTATACAATTATTTTTTCAATTAAAAAAAAATCATCAAATGAAACTTTGGGTTTCTAACTTTAAAATGTACCAACATGTGTTTTCGAGTCTACGAAACAACCGTGATAAAAAAAAAAAGATTTTATTTATTTAAATGTTCGAAAGATACTATGTTGATTGTTGTTGCAACTTCCAACTTCCAGTCCAGCTGGCAAGTTGAAGTTTCTAGATAGAGACTTCCTCTCTTCTATATTTTATTTCTCATACAAGACTCCCGTGGCAGTATTGTTGGTTAGAATTGCTTGACTCAGTGATGCATTAAAATCTTTTACATCATTTTAGAATTAAAAATAAATAAAACAAGCAATATATAGATAGTAGCAACCAATGATAATACTAATAATACATATATATTAACACTGAGAATTACATAACAAACAAGGAGTAAGAAATCCCAACCTTCTGTAATATATATGGAAATATTAACACTTATCCTTAACTACT